AAAGGCCGTGGCCCAATGGCTCCTCCAAAGGACGGACCTCCTGCCATACCTCTCGGTGGCCAGAGAGATGGCAGAGGCGGAGACGTAGGCACTCCACCTCCTACAACTTTACATAACTATGCATACTACGCATACTACGCATACCACGCATACCACGCATACTGCGCATACTACACACACTACGCATACTACGCATACTACGCATACTGCGCATACTATGCATACTGTGCATACTACGCACACTACGCATACTACGCACACTACGCATACTACGCACACTACGCACGCACAGCGCCACCGCCGCCTATATCACGCACCCACCCAACAGCTGTATCCACCCGTATACCGCAGCCCCCACATATATCGCAGCCTATACAGCACCACCCCCTCATACATCATTCAATTCAAGGACCAACGCCTTGACGAAGGGCACGCGTGCGAAACAACAGCACGCGTGCCCTCACGCTAATCCTAAACCAGCTCACTACCCCGGAATCAACTCGACCCGCGCCTAGGAGGACGACTGTAAAACCCGGACAGATTTAGGAAGACGCATCACGATGGCTTATTCCGTGGTGGACTTGATAGATCTACCACGTGTCCTTAATAGCTATACAACAACGAGAAAAGCGCTCAGCGCTATACACCGCAGAGGACGGGGTTTTCATCCGAACGCTGCATGGCAGCAAACGGTTTCTCCTTGTAAACTAGCCTAGATAGAACAGCTGCATGGACCCTAACGGGAGCTACACCAGCGTAATAGAATTTAATAATAATATATAAAAGATAGCTAATAAGCTACTCGCCGAGCGCGGTGCTAGCTAAGTAGGTATTAACTGGCTAAACAACTTTATTAAGCGAATAAATAAGCTTAAAACAAAGTTTAATCGAAAGTATAACTATTAAAAAGCTCTATATAAAGATCTAGAGGTTATTAGCAATTAGTTTAAGCTTATATATAATATAAAAGCAAAGTACAGCATTATTAATAATAATATATATAACTTTAATAAAGCTGGCTTCTAAATAGGCGTTATTTTATTAAGTATAGTTATAACAGGCTCTAAGCAGCGCAATTAACTAAAAGCTATACAGCTAGGCAATTGCGAATAGATAATAATAATCTAAGGAATTAATACCTATAGATAGGCTATCCCGCTATTTATTATTTTTACAGGTAAGTACTATTTTTTTATATAGTATAAGGGCGATAATATACCACCGGACTAGGTTATAGCAGTAAGTAATAATAGCTGGATAATAAATAAGCTTAGTATTACCTGGCTGCAGCATTTTAATATATATATAAAAGATCGCACTATAGGTATATATCGGCTGCTAATTATTAATAGCTATAAAAGCTATATTTCGCTTAAATTCTAATAAATTTATAAGAAGAACAATATTATTGCTTTCTATATACTACCGTATTTATTGCACCTGCTATAGCTGCTTAATATTAGCTGCTTTTCGCTATTAAAAAAGGTATACAGGCGCTAAATTAAGGACCTAGTACGCTACTATATTAATTATATTATAAAGCTAGAGTTCCTGCCGGTATTTAAAGTAGTATTCTATAACTTAATTATAAAGAGTAATATTTACGCAAGCTTTTAAGGCGCAGGCCTTATACCGCTTAATCTAGAGGCAGTACTTTTAAAGCTTAATATTATACTTTATACGCTATCGCCTCCTGCTATAAAGGCTTAATAGGAATTAAAAATACTAAGTAATACTCTTAAGCTAAACTTTTAATTAGCCTTAATTTATAATCGCATTTAAATACATTAAAATAGCTTACCTATAGCTATTTTTAACTCGCTTAATAGCCTTTTTAAAGGTGCTGTAATTATAATATATAAAGCTACGCTACTGCGCGATATAGTTGCTAGCCTTTAAAAGGTAAATAAAGCTGCTATAAAGCGCAAGGCGCGCAAAAAAAAGCGGATTTAAAGGGAAGGAACTCTAATAAAGAAAGCAGGCTTTTAAATAGCTGCTTAAAAAATTAAGAAGGCAGCTTAAAGTAAAAGGCAGTAAGCCGGAGCGCGCTCCGGCAAACTAGGGTATAACGCTTATATATGCAAAAAAGATGCAGAGGTTGCTATAAATTAGGCTATAACTTATATCTAGTTAATATCTATTAGCGTTATAAAGCAATTAACGTTTAAGGCAGCTAAATATAATAAGGTGGCTAACTCGCTTATATAGCCGACTCGCTTATAAAGTATATTAGTAGTTATTTAGGTATAAAATCTATTTATTAGCAATTTAAGAGCTTAAACTATAACTGCTTCTATTTTAACTACTTAGTTTTAAAAATACTAATATATATACTATAAAAGGAATATTTAAACCGTAATTTAACCCGTGTTATTATACAGGGGTTTCTTTCTATCCTATTTAAACCGTAAGGTCTATATAAAAGTAAAAATTACGTTTATTACTAGTGCAGCGGCGTTGCGTTATAGCTAAAGGTCGTCTTTAAAAATATTATACTTAACACCGCTAGAATAGCAAAGTTTTTATAAAAGCCTTATTAGAGCTTTTATATAACTATAATAAAACAGAGAACTAGATTAAAAACCACCTAATATTCTATTATCCGGGCAGGCTATTCTAACTTAGGGCTATACTAGTGCCTATATTTACTAGTAGAAGTAATAGAACTAATCTATTAAAATAATAGAATACCTCTATACTAATATAGTTATACTTACGCCTCTACCTAAATAGATAGATAGACGGACGCTATCGCGAATAAATAAGTAAATAACTAGAACCCAGGAGCTAATAGCTATAAAAGTAAGGATAGTAATAGTTTAGTTAGTAGGCAGAAGGGATAATAGCTGCGCGGCGTTAAGTTATTAGAGGTAATAACCTCTATCTATAAAATATAGTTAGCCTGTTATTATAAAAGTATTATAGATAATATAAAGGGGCTTCTGCCTTTTAGTAGAGGTAGAAGTTATAGAGTATAGTATATAATAGCAGTAATAGTTAGCTCTAGGCCTCTACGGACGCTTAGTAGACTTATAGTAGATAGTAGTAGTAAAATAGGAAATATATAGAGTGTGTATACAGCCTTCCTATTTTATTTTTTATATATAGCTATAGAGCTTTAGCTTATAGTGCTTTTATATACTAGGAGAAAATAGAGAGTATATATATAGACTTCCTATTTTATATAGCTATATAAGCTTTAGCCTATATAGCGCCTCTATAGAATAGAAAGTATACAGCGTATTCCTTATAGCCTTTTTATTTAGTATAGCTAGCGGCTATTATAAAGGGAGAAGGATTAACACTTTACTAGTAATACTATTTATATAGCCTAAATAAATAGATACGCGTATTAGTCTACTATTATATATAAGTAATAATATATAGGCTTAAGAAGTAAATTAGCAGTATATAGGTTATTATAGAAAGAGCAGCCTAGAATAGGGCCCGGGCAGGCGGGCACTATAGCTAGTTTACTTATCTTATATATAGAGTAGATATAAATACACGCTGGCTAAACTAGCTTAATACTTCGGAATTAAGTCGACCTGCGCCTAGGAGGACGACTATAAACCCGGATAAATTTAGGACAACGTATTATAATAGCTTATTCTGTAGTAGACTTAATAGATCTACTACGTGTTCCTAATAGCTATATAATAATAAGAAGAGCGCTTAGCGCTATATACTGCAGAGGACGGGGTTTTTATCTAAACGCTGTATAGCAGCAAACGGTTTCTCCCTATAAACTAGCCTAGATAGAACAGCTATATAGACCCTAATAGGAGCTATACTAGCGTAATAGAATTTAATAATAATATATATACCTATTATATATAGGGGACTACTAATCGTACACCCCCTAATTCCTAGACGTATACCCCCTTTTCACTACACGTACACTCCCTCCCCCCCCTATCGCTTCACCACCTTCTAATTGGCTCGGAGGGCTGCTCCGTAGCCTCCGATTTGCTCGCTTAACTTGCTTATTAATTCCGAATGCTCTCTCTAAATGCGGCCATGTACAACACAAGCAATTATATTATGCCGATTTGTATAGCCTTATATATAGCCTTATATACAAGCTTACGTACAAGCTTACGTACAGCTGTATATACGACTGCATGAATTGGAAAGAATGCGCCGTAGAACAGAGAGGCTGTATAGCCATGCTGATTTATATAGTCTTATGTACGAGCTCACATACAAGCTCACGTATAAGTTCACGTACAAACTCACGTACAAGCTCACGTACGAGCTTACGTATAGCCTCACGTATGAGCTCACATACGGCCTCGCGTATAGCATCACGTACGGCCTCGTGTATAGCATCACGTACAGCCTCGCGTATAGCATCACGTGTAGAGAGACGTAAGGGTGAATGCCCGGAGGAAGCTCCGGGCTCTCCGAGCCAATCAGAAGGTGGTGAAGCGCCAAGAGGGGGGGTGTACATGGAGTGAAAAGGGGGTGTACGTCTAGGAATTAGGGGGTGTACGATTAGTAGTCCCTAGCATAAATAGCAGTACAATAATATGAGTAGCACTTAGCAATACTATTGATAGCTGATGAGTGATTTCTGTCGTTCCGGCCATTTTAGACAGGGAAACATACTCGGGCGAATGATCAAGTGAGATGTCAGGCTCCGCTGAACATAAAGTGGCAGTTGAACACCGTCTGAGGTGGCCCGGAGAGCTATCAGCCTTGCCAGAGCTGGTATCATGCGAATTTGAGTATCATACCAGAGGACCTCAGCGGCGCCAAACCAGCCTACAGAAGCACAGTAAAAGTGTGGACCTTAGGGATAAGAAGTCTGAAATCAGAACCACGGATTCGTGGACTGCTATTTTTGTTCAAGGAAGCCTGGACACCGCCTCAAGAGTGAATCAATGAGGTCGAGAACATTTTCTTGGCAACGGGGTCCGTGCGTGTATCCGTGCACCTCCACGACAACAAAACCACGACTGTTAGACTCTTATCTTCAGCTTGCGACATTCCCCACCATGAACTCTATCAATCTACCATACTTCGCTGATAGTGCAAGCTTTCCTGCACCTTTACCAACAGTGCAAGAAATTGAGTCCGCAACCGAAACTATTCAACACACCACGGGGCGCAAAATCGCTGTAGTTGGCGATCACTTCGTTGTCAAATATGGAGTCCATGTTGACCTACTGGAGGGAGAAACAACGCTCTTCCTAGGAAAATCAACAAATGTTCCAGTGCCACGCATTTATGCATTGTTCCAGAGCCCCGACAAACGCTGCAGCTACATCATCATGGAGCGTATTTCAGGGTGGACACTAGATTTGGAATGGCCAAACATGGATGAAGCGAGAAAAGATGCCGTCTGCTCAATACTACGAGCCATTCTTGAGGAAATGCGGAAGCTAGAATCTCCTGGAGGATACTGCAGCATTGGGCGTCGCGGGTTGCCCGACGGTCCGTTTTGGACAATGGACCCGTTAGATCCATTCAGGGGGCCATTCGATACGGAATCAGATTTGAACGAGGCCATGATCGCAAAGTACGTCGCAGACGGCCTCTCTCAACACAAGGCAAACTTCTACTCGCGTACCTTTAAAGAAGTGTTTCGAAATCACGTCCCCGTGTTCGCACACGCAGACCTCCAGCGGAAGAATATCATGGTTCGCTTCTCTTCAAAAGCGACAGGGTTGAAGCAGCAAGGGAACGTTGAGCGCCTGGAGCTTGTGATCATCGATTGGGAGTATGCTGGCTGGTATCCAAGCTACTGGGAATATGCAAGAGCCGTGTGGGCTTGTGGACGATGGCAAGACGACTGGAATTATTGGATTGATCAAATACTGGATCCATTTCGAAACGAATTTGCTTGGGTGGAGATGCTCCTTAAAGAAATGTGGGGCTGAGATTATGCTCGATTTGTGGTCAAGAATCACGTCCGTTTTCTCTTGGCGTAGGTCGAGGAGAAGAGGGTAGTCCGGTCATGCAAAGAAGAGTAGAACCTCCTTCATACTGAAGAACAGCATCAACTAGTTTCCTTGAAACCTATGGCTGGGCTCAGAATGTCGAGTTGAGCGGCGGCCCATGTCAGACCGTGGATGGTAATTGGAAAGCGGAAGCAGACATGATGGACTGGAGTATGCGGAGCATAGACACAAAAGTTTAGATTAGCATGAGCCGATCTTTACAGACGACGGAACCCTTGATATACTCTTGATATCGCACAAGATCGAACCTCCCCTCCTTAAGATCGTGGCTTCCAGGAGTCCCAGCCCAGCAGAAAGTGCGGCAATCACGAATCGTCTCTCCGTTGTCTAACTCGATATCACAAGTGCACTAAGTAAAGGCTGAAGTTTCATACTCCTAAAGCCGTAAGAAATGTGATACCTCATCGATATTTCACGTAGTCCCTGGAATATTCCCGCGTGAACGGGGTATCAGTGTCGGATACATACCCCACGTCTTCGTCGAGAAGCCCTCAACCCAGCAATCGCAGACGACGGGAGCTTGGGGAAATCCTAGAGCTGTCTGGAGTACATCGGGGTCCATCAAACAGCCATAGAAGAAGAAGAAGCATGTACTGAACGCCGACTCTGATGTTTCAGTCCTACCGTTCGATTTTTTTGCGGCTGTTACGAGAAATTTCTTCTCTAAACGAGACGCGTTGGTCGTAGAAGCATTCGGCGGCAATAGAGGCGACGGAGCTATGATTCTAGCGTTTGGAAGAGAAGGTGGAGGCGGAGGCGGTATCGTTATGGAGAGTATTTTGTACATGCTGTGGAGGCTGAAGTCAAAGGGGAGAAATGCAACGCTATACTTAGCCGGGATCTCGCAACGCTCCGTGGCCTCTCATCATCCACCACTTTGTGACTTCATCTCATCATTTCGACTCTGGAACGTGACAGCGCGTACTGGCGCGGCTTGATGACATCATGAGTCTACCGCTGCGGTTAGAGCAGGAATGCGGTCGAGAAGACATTGGCACGCCTTTGTCCCTTCGGTGACTGCCCTCCAGTGACTGCCCTCCAGTTTCATCCTCACGTTTCTGCAAGCATCAAAAAGTTGAATTGCAAAGCCTTGCCCTTCACAATAGTGTGGGAATTTTCTTGATGCGCCTACGTCGCCTCCAATGGCCCTCAACCCTCGAGTAATTTACTGGTTCCGAACAGATCTCAGGCTTCACGACTCTCCCGCGCTTGCTGCAGCTCTGGACCTGAAGCCAGAATGCTTCTGGCCGATATGGTGCTGGGATCCACACTACGTGTACAGAGCGCGAGTTGGATCAAACCGATGGCAATATCTTCTCGACTGCCAGCAGGATCTTTCTGATGGCATTGCAAAATTGAACCCCAAGTCTAAGCTTTATGTTCTACGGGAAGCGCCCCAGACGCTGCTGCCGAAACTATTCAAGGCGTGGAAGGTGACGCACTTAGTTTTCGAGAAAGACACCGATGCATATGCGCGGTCCCGTGATGAGGAGGTCATGTGCAGGGCAAAAGAGGCCGGGGTGCAAGTGATTGTAAAATATGGAAAGACGCTATGGGATCCTGACGCTGTGGTGAAAGCGAATGGTAACAAGCCAACCATGACCGTTTCTCAATTGCAGCATTCAGGCGAGAAAGTAGGCAACATTCCAAGACCCATACCAGCGCCGAAGTGTATACCAGATCCTGGTGACATGCCACTCAATTTCGAGCAAGCACAACCTACCCCTGAGCCTGACTTCAACTCTATCCATCGCACTGGAAAGGAGGATTCATATGCGAAGCTTTCAGGGCCCAACAACGACCTTGCGGTGCCCACGATCGAAGAGCTCGGTATCAAACAAGCAACTACTCCACACCGCGGCGGAGAAACGAGGGCTTTGGCCGCGCTCGACAAAATCATCAAGAACGAACAATATACTGCAACTTTTGAAAAACCCAACAGTGCACCTACCGCATTTGAACCTCAATCTACGACGCTACTAAGTCCTCACTTGCATTTTGGATCTCTGAGTTGCCGCGAATTCTATTGGCGAGTTCAAGATGTTGTGGACAACTACAAGGGTAAAGCATCTCAACCGCCTGCTAGTCTCACCGGACAGCTTCTATTTCGAGACATGTACTTTGCCGCTCAAGCCAAGATGGGATGGAGTTTCTCTCAAACCGTAGGAAACGGTCACTGCCGTTTCATTCCCTGGCACCTTCGCAGTCAAGTTGATGAGAAGGACGGCCTTATCAATGGCGAATATAACATTGATAGCCTCGAGGCAGAGGAATGGTTCCAGCGCTGGAAGACTGGTCGGACGGGCTTCCCGTGGATCGATGCCGTTATGCGCCAGCTCAAGCAGGAAGGTTGGATACACCATCTAGCTCGGCATTCCGTGGCCTGCTTCCTTACTAGAGGAGGCTGCTACATCGACTGGGAAAGAGGAGCTGAGGTGTTTGAAGAATTGCTCATCGACCATGAAACAGCTTGCAATACTGGAAACTGGCAATGGCTATCTTGCACGGCTTTCTTCTCCCAGTTCTACCGCTGTTATTCTCCAATTGCCTTTCCCCGGAAGACTGACAAGACTGGCGACTTTGTCCGTCAATTTGTTCCAGAACTGAAAGACTTCCCTGCCAAGTACATTTATGAGCCGTGGAAAGCCCCGGTTCAAGACCAAAGGAAGGCTAAATGTATTATCAAAGGCGACGGGACTGTTGAGACGATCGACGGATTGACTGCTTATCCAAAGCCAATGTTCGACTTCTCCACGCGACGCGACATCTGCATTGGAGGCATGAAGAACGCTTATCGAGCTGGTCTTTATGGCAATAGTCCGCAGGTCATGAACAGATCTTGGCCCTCTGCTTTTGATGACGACGCTGAGGGCACGACAGAGGGACAAAATACGGCCGACCAGGAGAAATTTGAAGAGGCGGCCCACCATGAAAATGATCTTGAGATCAACAGTGAGCCAAGCGGCAAGAGCAAGAATAAGAGGAAGAGGACAGGGCATTTGGATGGCTTCTTGAGAACACAAAAGGCGATGAGGTAAAGCAGCAGATGGCATGTCCGCCAATACCGTACAAAATGGCTTTGCATAGCTGCGGAATAAATAAAAGCTACAAATTAGTTAACTTCTTCGTACCTTTAAAGCCCCGTGCAATCTTTCATACTTATACACAGAATTCGAAGAACCCATTGGGGCCCGAGTATCATAAAAATCATTACTACTTAGCGGGATTGGAAACGCTCGAGTATATCTGTTCCTTGACCGTAATCTTGCCTCACACAAGGTAAATAAAGGCCCAAATCCCATGATAGCGCTTTCTCGTTTGTGCAGAAATGCAATGGCCTCTTCAACTACCGGACCACATTGTCATGAAGCTGCAACGGCATATTCATGCTCGCTTGCATTTCTGTCTAGTCAAGAGAGGAGACAAGCAGGCAACACCCTTACTGTTATAAAGGTCTACAGACATATGCAGTAACACGATGCTATTAATGTGTTAACAGGGTCAAGCGAAATATTACCCTCTTCTAATTGGGGGGTAGGTCTGGCATGTGAAAACCATATTACTAAGCAGACAGTTGTATTATTGTAGAGATGGATAAGACAGAAATATTAGCGCTCTTTAATTTATCTACTAGCAAAATTAGCCCCTATATGTCTAACAACTGGTAACTAGAATTAAACACATCTAAATAGATACTAGATACTTCTTAATTAATAACTAAAAGAAGTTATATATAATAGATCTTTAATACAAAATAGTTCTTTCTAGGTGGGTATAATAGTAAGGTTAGTAAATTATACACTAAACAATATGTTGTTTTACATAGATTTAGCATTAGATTTAGGAAATTCAGACTCTACTTAATAAGAGAAGTCTATTATAGCCTAGGTCTAAGCTTAATATAATAGACATAATATAGTAAAAGTAGAGTAGTAATAAGTAAGTTTCTTAATAAAGATAAATAGGCTAATAGCTAGGTGTAATAATAGTGCTATACTAAGAATAATTTAATAAACTGTATATAATCTTTATATTAATATATATAAATTATTACAAAGTACTATAATAATTATATAAGGCCTAAATATATACTAAATTTTTTTTTAGTAATATAGAATATATAGACCCTAACAGCTGCTATAATAGCATAGCAGGATATAATAATACAGGACTATATTAGAACAAGAATAAGCGATATATTTCTTTGTTCTATTATCTATATATAGATCCTTTGTTCCTTTGTTCTAACAAAGAACTCTTTGTCCTAATAAAGGACTCTTTGTCCTAATAAAGGACTTGTTGTATATAAAGAGGCTTTGTCTTAATAAAGAGACGTGAACTCTTTATTACAACAAAGACTACGTTCTAATAAAGAACGACTGAGGTATATTAAGACCGCTGCCTCGCTCCTTAAACTCAATCAACTTAACCAGTTTACATACTAATTAGTAATACAACACTTATTTAAACCTTCACCATTTCACCACGTGCCTTATATACCTTTACAGACTATTAAATATTAATAAAACAGAATTATATATAATGTGTTAAAGGTATAAGGCTAAGATAGATAGATAGATAGATAGATAGATAGATAGATAGATAGATAGATAGATAGATAGATAGAAAGGAATTGTATTGCTTAAGTTCTATTCTATATTAACAGCAGCGGACTTGTATATAGATAGTATTATAAAGTGCTTATAAAACATTCTCTAACGCTTCTGTAATTTTATCCTAATATTTCTTATATTACGCTTAAACGCGTATAATTTAGTGGCGTTAAGAGTATTATATATAAGGATATAATGCAGATGCTATTATAAACCTAATAGATAGATAGAGAGATAAATAGATAAATAAATAGCCCTATAGAAGGAAGCATTGCTTAATAATAAAGAATATTATCGGAACGCAACGGCTATATACCTAGGAGAAAGAAAGTTCGCTTCTATAAACTGGCACGATGCAATCGAGCTCGCAGCCGCTTGGAATCACGGCCCAAGGCAAGCCCCTAGGGGCTACTCAAGGCCCTACAAGCTATGCAACGAACTCTCAGAGCTCCGCAAGCAGCGGTGGCGGCGTCGCGGTCGATTTACGCGTCGCGACCCCTAATCCGCAGCACCTGCAGCAACAACAGCATCACCTACATCAACAACAACAACCTTAACCCCAAAACCAAACCAAACACAACAACCCAAAGCCCACCGGAAACGCCTACCAAAGCGTCTAAAGCACCCTTCATAAAGCGCGACAACTACAGGCCAGCCTATAGAATAAGCCACCTTAACCCGCAGACATGGACAGACTATACCACGCATTCCAGGAATTTATCGGACGCGTAATAATCAACCTTACAGGCGCATCGGCTAAATTCTAACAAACGCCATAGGTACAATTGATAAAGAAGATGGAGAAGATGGAGAAGGAAGTACGCGCGCTGTTAACACAGGGCAAGACGTACACCGCAGCGGCGGCAGGAACAACACCAGCCACCATACTAAATAGATGGATGGGGCAGCAAAATAGAGGAATTGGGCAGCGAAATGGAAAGGCTGCAGGAAACAGGACGCCGATAGCACAGCCTATAGAGGTCTATAAGATTACTATCCATATTAAAGGTAACAATAAACAAGCCGCCACTAAAGATAACATAAACGCAACTATTGCCAGCAAGCTTCAGGCAGGCGGCCCCCTAGATATAACCTGGGTATATAGCGTAAAGAAGCTCTAGAGTAGGGATGTAACAGCGTATATAGCTGATAAAGCTATAAAGGAACGCCTATTAAAGAAGAGGGAGTAGGTACAGGTGCTGGCTAAGTCGGCGCGCGTATAACTCCCTGCTGTGCTAATAGAGGTGTATAGAGCGCCTAAAAATACAGCCCTAGACAGCCTAGGGCTAAAAAAGGCTAATATTACAGCTAATATATCTATTAACCTGGGCCTTATTATAGAAAGGATTATATAGAAGAATAAAAAGGGCATCTAAGCAGTATAGGATAACCCTAACCGCCGCACTAGCTTAGCTATTATTAGCGTGCATATAAAAGAAATGGCAGATACTATAATAGTAAGAGGGCTTATTATAGACAGCCGGCTGCTAATAGTATTAAGGTATAAGGCGAGCTTTATTACTACGCAGTGCCTAAGGTGCCAGGGCTACAGCTACGTAGCTAGGCACTGCAAGAAAAATATCTAATACGCGAACTGCGCAGGAGAATATAATACTAGAGAATGCAATAATCCGGGCATTAAAAAGTGCGCTAACTGTAAAAAAAACCACCCGGTGTATAGTATAGAATATAATATCTAGAAAAGGGCCGAACTATAGGCCTTAGTAAAGCAATAGGCTATACCGGCTTAATACAACACTAATAGAAATATAAGCCCGCATAAATACTAAGCGCTGCTAGGAGCATACGCGACCTAAATAATACCTTAGTCCTAATCTAAAAAAAGGAAGGTAGAGGGCCCTATACCGCGCAGTAGTACTAGACTAAAGCTAACCCTAGAGGTGGCTAGAAGGGGCCCTAGCAGGCTGCTAAAGAATATCGGCTAAACTAATAATAACCTAAAATAGTAGAAGCTACTTAATATAATATAGCAGACCCCCTATTTAGCGCAATCTATCTATTTTATAGAATAACCTACTTATTTCACCTTAGGTTATTTAACCTATTTAAGCGGTTAATCTATCTATTTTGCGGAGCAGCCTATATAGTAATTATAGCCTACTACCTAGGCTACCTAGTTAATAGTATATAAAGGGGCTAAGGGGCTCTTATAGCTTATATAGCCTAATATTATACAGGTTCTATTTTCCTAGAAGAAGGATGCAGACTGCCAGCTATATAAGGAAACTAGTAAGGCTGGCCCTATTAAAGACACTGCTATAAACCTTAACTAATAATAACGTACTTTACAAGCGAGTCGGCCACCTCATCATATTTAGCTGCCTTAAACGTTGATTGCTCCACAACGCCAATAGATATCAACTAGATACAAGTTGTAGCCTAATCTGCAGCAACCTCTGCATCTTTTTTGCACGTACGAGCGTTGTGCCCTAGTTCGCCGGAGCGCGCTCCAGCTTGCTGCCTTTTGCTTTGAGCTGCCTCCTCGATTCTTTGAGCAGCTATTTAAGAGCCTGCTTCCTTTGTTAGAGTTCCTTCCCTCTAAATCCGCTTTTTTTGCGCGCCTTGCGCTTTATGGCAGCTTTATTTGCCTTTTAAAGGCTGGCAACTGTATCGCGCAACAGCGTGGCTTTATATATTATAATTGCAGCACCTTTAGAGAGGCTATTAAGCGAGTTAAGAATAGCTGTAGGCGAGCTATTTTAATGCATTTGAATGCGATTACAAATTAAGGCTGATTGAGAGTCTAGCTCGAGAGCGTTGCTTAGTGTTTTTGATTCCCATTGAGCCTCCACGGCGGGAGGCGACGGCGTACGAAGCACAACATTAAGCTTTAAGAGCACTGCCTCTGGATTAAGCGGCACAAGGCCTGCGCCTCAAAAGCTTGCGCAAATATTGCTCTTTGTAATTGAGTTGTAGAATACTGCTTTAAATGCCGGCAGGAACTCTAGCTTTATAATGTGATTGATGTAGTGGCGTACTAGGTCCTCAATTTGGCGCCCGTATGCCTTTTTTAATGGCGAAAAGCAGCCAACATTAAGCAGCTGCAGCAGGTGCAACGAATGCGGCGGCATACAGAGAGCGATGATGTTGTTCTCCTTGCAAATTTGTTGGAATTCGAGCGAGATATGGCTCTCATGGCTATCAATAATCAGCAGCCGATGCGTGCCTACGGTGCGATCTTTTGTATGCATATTAAAATGCTGCAGCCAGGCAACACCAAGCTTATTCGTTGTCCAGCCATTGTCGCTTACTGCCATAACCCAGTCCGGTGGTATGTCGTCGCCCTCGTACCATGCAGAGAGATGGTACTTGCCTGCAAAGATGATGAATGGCGGGATGGCCCATCCACAGGCATTGATTCCTTGGATTATTGTTGTCCATTCGCGATTGCCTGGCTGTACAGCTTTTGGTCGATTGCGCCGCTCGGAGCCTGTTACAACCATGCTTGATGAGATAACGCC